GTCGCGATCAGAACTAGAGAGAACCGATGTGCACTAATCGGAGTGCAAAAGAAAACTAACTCGCGAATCGTCAAAGTTAATCGAAGGACCGTTTATGTTTATATTGCAGAAGGCCAACAACACGAGATGAAATTTTAAAGTACTGGAATCTTATATCAAAATTATTTTAAGTCTCTCACGCGTTTCTTTGTTTATAATGATTAAACGAATCTGATATTGTTTAAATATTGCTTTATTATACTCCGTCTACGTTATAGATTGTTTAATTAATTTAGAAATTACCGAAATTATTAATTTATAAGTTGTCGCGATCAGAACTAGAGAGAACCGATGTGCACCGGTCGGAGTGCAAAAGAAAACTAACTCACGAATTGTCAAAGTTAATCGAAGGACCGTTTATGTTTATATTGCAGAAGGCCAACAACACGAGATAAAATTTTAAAGTACTGGAATTTTATATCAAAATTATTTTAAGTCTCTCACGCGTTTCTTTGTTTATAATGTTTAAACGAATCTACTGTTGTTTAAATATTGCTTTATTATACTCCGTCTACGTTAAAGATTGTTTAATTAATTTAGAAATTACCGAAATTATTAATTTATAAGTTGTCGCGATCAGAACTAGAGAGAACCGATGTGCACTAATCGGAGTGCAAATGAAAACTAACTCGCGAATCGTCAAAGTTAATCGTAGGACCGTTTATGTTTATATTGCAGAAGGCCAACAACACGAGATGAAATTTTAAAGTACTGGAATCTAATATCAAAATTATTTTAAGTCTCTCACGCGTTTCTTTGTTTATAATGATTAAACGAATCTGCTATTGTTTAAATATTGCTTTATTATACTCCGTGAATGTTAAAGATTGTTTAATTAATTTAGAAATTACCGAAATTATTAATTTTTAAGTTGTCGCGATCGGAAATAGAGAGTATCGGTATACTCTGGTCGGAGTGCAAAAGAAAACTAACTCACGAATTGTCAAAGTTAATCGTAGAACCGTTTATGTTTATATTGCAGAAGGCCAACATCCCGATATAAAATTTTAAAGTACTGGAATCTTATATCAAAATTATTTTAAGTCTCTCACGCGTTTCTTTGTTTATAATGATTAAACGAATCTGATATTGTTTAAATATTGCTTTATTATACTTCGTCTACGTTATAGATTGTTTAATTAATTTAAAAATTACCGAAATTATTAATTTATAAGTTGTCGCGAACAGAACTAGAGAGAACCGATGTGCACTGGTCGGAGTGCAAATGAAAACTAACACGCGAATCGTCAAAGTTAATCGAAGGACCGTTTATGTTTATATTGCAGAAGGCCAACAACACGAGATGAAATTTTAAAGTACTGGAATCTTATATCAAAATTATTTTAAGTCTCTCGCGCGTTTCTTTGTTTATAATGTTTAAACGAATCTACTGTTGTTTAAATATTGCTTTATTATACTCCGTCTACGTTATAGATTGTTTAATTAATTTAGAAATTACCGAAATTATTAATTTATAAGTTGTCGCGATCAGAACTAGAGAGAACCGATGTGCACTGGTCGGAGTGCAAAAGAAAACTAACTCACGAATTATCAAAGTTAATCGAAGGACCGTTTATGTTTATATTGCAGAAGGCCAACAACACGAGATAAAATTTTAAAGTACTGGAATTTTATATCAAAATTATTTTAAGTCTCTCACGCGTTTCTTTGTTTATAATGTTTAAACGAATCTACTGTTGTTTAAATATTGCTTTATTATACTCCGTCTACGTTAAAGATTGTTTAATTAATTTAGAAATTACCGAAATTATTAATTTTTAAGTTGTCGCGATCAGAACTAGAGAGAACCGATGTGCACTGGTCGGAGTGCAAAAGAAAACTAACTCGCGAATCGTCAAAGTTAATCGAAGGACCGTTTATGTTTATATTGCAGAAGGCCAACAACACGAGATGAAATTTTAAAGTACTGGAATCTTATATCAAAATTATTTTAAGTCTCTCACGCGTTTCTTTGTTTATAATGATTAAACGAATCTGATATTGTTTAAATATTGCTTTATTATACTCCGTCTACGTTAAAGATTGTTTAATTAATTTAGAAATTACCGAAATTATTAATTTATAAGTTGTCGCGATCAGAACTAGAGAGAACCGATGTGCACTGGTCGGAGTGCAAAAGAAAACTAACTCACGAATTGTCAAAGTTAATCGAAGGACCGTTTATGTTTATATTGCAGAAGGCCAACAACACGAGATGAAATTTTAAAGTACTGGAATCTTATATCAAAATTATTTTAAGTCTCTCACGCGTTTCTTTGTTTATAATGATTAAACGAATCTGATATTGTTTAAATATTGCTTTATTATACTCCGTCTACGTTATAGATTGTTTAATTAATTTAGAAATTACCGAAATTATTAATTTATAAGTTGTCGCGATCAGAACTAGAGAGAACCGATGTGCACCGGTCGGAGTGCAAAAGAAAACTAACTCACGAATTGTCAAAGTTAATCGAAGGACCGTTTATGTTTATATTGCAGAAGGCCAACAACACGAGATAAAATTTTAAAGTACTGGAATTTTATATCAAAATTATTTTAAGTCTCTCACGCGTTTCTTTGTTTATAATGTTTAAACGAATCTACTGTTGTTTAAATATTGCTTTATTATACTCCGTCTACGTTAAAGATTGTTTAATTAATTTAGAAATTACCGAAATTATTAATTTATAAGTTGTCGCGATCAGAACTAGAGAGAACCGATGTGCACTAATCGGAGTGCAAATGAAAACTAACTCGCGAATCGTCAAAGTTAATCGTAGGACCGTTTATGTTTATATTGCAGAAGGCCAACAACACGAGATGAAATTTTAAAGTACTGGAATCTAATATCAAAATTATTTTAAGTCTCTCACGCGTTTCTTTGTTTATAATGATTAAACGAATCTGCTATTGTTTAAATATTGCTTTATTATACTCCGTGAATGTTAAAGATTGTTTAATTAATTTAGAAATTACCGAAATTATTAATTTTTAAGTTGTCGCGATCGGAAATAGAGAGTATCGGTATACTCTGGTCGGAGTGCAAAAGAAAACTAACTCACGAATTGTCAAAGTTAATCGTAGAACCGTTTATGTTTATATTGCAGAAGGCCAACATCCCGATATAAAATTTTAAAGTACTGGAATCTTATATCAAAATTATTTTAAGTCTCTCACGCGTTTCTTTGTTTATAATGATTAAACGAATCTGATATTGTTTAAATATTGCTTTATTATACTTCGTCTACGTTATAGATTGTTTAATTAATTTAAAAATTACCGAAATTATTAATTTATAAGTTGTCGCGAACAGAACTAGAGAGAACCGATGTGCACTGGTCGGAGTGCAAATGAAAACTAACACGCGAATCGTCAAAGTTAATCGAAGGACCGTTTATGTTTATATTGCAGAAGGCCAACAACACGAGATGAAATTTTAAAGTACTGGAATCTTATATCAAAATTATTTTAAGTCTCTCGCGCGTTTCTTTGTTTATAATGTTTAAACGAATCTACTGTTGTTTAAATATTGCTTTATTGTACTCTGTCTACGTTATAGATTGTTTAATTAATTTAGAAATTACCGATATTATTAATTTATAAGTTATCGCGATCAGAAATAGAGTGTATCGGTGTGAACTGTTCGGAGTACAAAACAAAACTAACTCGCGAATCATCAAAGTTAATCGAAGGACCGCTTATGTTTATATTGCAGAAGGCCAACATCCCGAGATAAAATTGTAATTATTTTAAGTCTCTCACGCGTTTCTTTGTTTATAATGTTTAAACGAATCTACTGTTGTTTAAATATTGCTTTATTATACTCCGTGAATGTTAAAGATTGTTTAATTAATTTAGAAATTACCGAAATTATTAATTTATAAGTTGTCGCGATCGGAAATAGAGAGTATCGGTATACTCTGGTCGGAGTGCAAAAGAAAACTAACTCACGAATTGTCAAAGTTAATCGTAGAACCGTTTATGTTTATATTGCAGAAGGCCAACATCCCGATATAAAATTTTAAAGTACTGGAATCTTATATCAAAATTATTTTAAGTCTCTCACCCGTTTCTTTGTTTATAATGATTAAACGAATCTACTGTTGTTTAAATATTGCTTTATTGTACTCTGTCTACGTTATAGATTGTTTAATTAATTTAGAAATTACCGAAATTATTAATTTATATGTTATCGCGATCGGAAATAGAGAGTATCGGTGTGAACTGTTCGGAGTACAAAACAAAACTAACTCGTGAATCGTCAAAGTTAATCGAAGGACCGCTTATGTTTATATTGCAGAAGGCCAACAACACGAGATGAAATTTTAAAGTACTGGAATCTTATATCAAAATTATTTTAAGTCTCTCACGCGTTTCTTTGTTTATAATGTTTAAACGAATCTGCTCTTGTTTAAATATTGCTTTATTATACTCCGTGAATGTTAAAGATTGTTTAATTAATTTAGAAATTATCGGAATTATTAATTTATATGTTATCGCCATCAGAAATAGATCGTATCGGTGTGAACTGGTCGGAGTACAAAAGAAAACTAACTCGCGAATCGTCAAAGTTATTAGAAGGACCGCTTATGTTTATATTACAGAAGAGCAACAACCCCGAGAGAAAATTTTAAAGTATTAGAATCGTATATTAAAATTATTTTAAGTTCTTCTTACGTTTCTTTCTTTAGAATGTCTATACGAATCTACTAATGTTTAAATATTACTTTATTATATTCTGTGTACATTAATGATTGTTAAATTAATTGAAAAATGATCAAAATTATTAATTTATAAGTTATTACGTTTAAAAGAGATAGAATCAATGTGAGAAATATATGTTCTAAATTATACTTTCGTCTTTAAACTAAATTCTAATTAAAATGAGTTGATCTAGAAAAACTCCTGTTCTCATTGATTGCGTAAATCATTATAATACCAAGGATAGTAAACAGTTGTAAAAAAGAAAAACTAATTTATTCTTTGTCAATATAACGAAAAAAAAATAATAAATTCCTGAAATTCTTCACAGATGGCATTACTAGATAAATTATCGACTGTCGGTAAAATATTTTAATAAAGTATAGATCTTCGGTTTGTTTAGTTGGTACTGCTAAAACAGGGTTAACGTAACCTTTTTAATTTTCATTCCTCGCCTCTTTTGACGTGCTTCTTCGTGCAAGATGGTGAGCGTTTATTCACGTGTTTTCTATCGCTTTATTATAAAGTAATCCTAAACATTCGTAATATAATTACATTATGAAGTAATTGCGTATTTATCGTAGTAATTAATTAATGTAATAATAATCGACACAAAGCTCGTTATAAATATCTTCGTGAGTTTTCTATATGTAGCTTAGGTTAACTCGCCGTAATATGTTTTGTTTGCGATTATAACGATAACAAAGTTACAAAATTAATTGAATTTTATAACCCATCACTAATTTCAATTTCATCGAATATATTTGAATCTTTTTTTTTTTCTTTTATAATAATAATTTCTGAAATGTATAAAGTTATGATTACTTATGGTTCTTGTAATGTTCACAGACGAAGGGTACATCTAGCTTTGGTAAGCGTCGGAATAAGACGCACACATTGTGCAGACGATGTGGACGTAGTTCATATCATATCCAAAAATCACAATGCGCACAATGTGGATATCCTAAGAAAAAGATGAGATCATGTAAGTTGAATAAAGTTTACATTGAATCAGTAATATTTGAACTAGTTTCTCTAATCACTTTTACTGTAAAATAATTAATCGCATGTGTATGTTAACTGAATCATATTTTACAGACAATTGGTCGATCAAAGCAAAAAGGAGGAAGACTACTGGAACTGGTAGAATGCGTCATCTGAAAATTGTCCGTCGTAAATTCAAGTAAGTTCTCGTTATTATTGATTATCAATACTATTGACATAATGTCTTAATCATATAATATATATTAACATTGATATCTGTAGGTTATAAAAATTCAAATGTTAATTTATTGATATGTTTTAATTAAACATTAATTTTGTATTAACGTATAACATCGACATTTGGAATAATATAAAAATGATGAGAAAATTTATCAAGCCTTTTGTATTATACAAACTAACATAGAAAAATTATAGAGGTTATATATTTTTTCTTATCATTTTAGGAACGGATTCAGAGAAGGTTTGCCAAAACATAAAACTGTTGCTGCTAAATAATATACAATACATTCATCATAATGTTATTAAGCTACATAACTTTAACATCCAATAAAACAAAGTTTTGGAATCTATTGTAATTCAATTATATATTTAACCAAAAAAAAAAAGAAAAAAAGGGAAAAAAACTGTCCATTATCCATCATCCTTAATCTTTTAGGTATTCTTCCATCGTAAGTAACTTTTAGATACGATGGGCAATGGAACATCTTTCTAAGTAAATAAATAAATGTTTACTGATAAACTCTGACGCATGCGTATGTATACTATATATTGTTGCCTGAGAGGAATGGAAAAAAAATGTCTGATATGAAAGAGAACATATATCGAGTAGTATGGGCGAAATACGAAACGATCTGAGCTTGTACTGCGCAAACGCGTCGATTCTTTTGACAACGACCACTTGTATATTTAAAGAGGTTTCGCCTTAATAAAATGTCAGTAATATACGGAATTTGTTACACGATGGTATGATCTCTCATCGATACCATCATTACATCGTGGATCTAAAACCGTGAAAGAAAAACGCGGAATCGTTGAGAAGGAAAAGAGAGAGAGGGAGATAAAAAAAAAAGGAAAAAAAGAAAATTAATTGAGTTATGCTACTTAAAATTAAACAATTTCAACTGCACAAACATCGACGAATTAAAATATACGCGAACGTTAATGTATTTAAATAATAATCTATTTTTAGAGTCATAAAACTAATGTATAAAAAAGGTACAATTAATAAGATAGATTCATAAAAGTTATCTCTTGTGTGAATCCTCTTTGTTATTTAATATAACTATATGTTTTGAAATATATATATATATACACATATATACATATATGTAGTTAGAATTTTATCCCAGAATAAATTTTCTTAACAATTGAATTACGAAGAATAATAAACGTAAAAGAAAAGATCTAGTCGTTAAAACATAGATCATTTCATTTTAATTTTATTACTCTCTTCCTGATTTATCTCTTTTTAAAAGATTATTCGTTTAACAAATGCATATTCTGCGAAAATTGTTCGGTAAGTATTATCTTCGTTGTTATTATTCTCTTTCAATAACTTATTCAATAATAATAATAATAATAATAATAATAATAATAATAATAATAATAATAATAATAATAATAATAATAATAATAATAATAATAATAATAATAATAATAATAATAATAATAATAATAATAATAATAATAATAATAATAATAATAATAATAATAATAATAATAAATAAATTACCCAATTAATTAATTAATTAATTAATTAATTAATTAATTAATTATTTCAATATATATTTTTTTATAATTAGGTAGATACCTTCTCGTTACAAATACTATTAGCTGCGGTTTGATGATGGCAGCTGGTGATATGATACAGCAACGTAGAGAACACTGGAAACGGTATCGTTATGTGGATTATTTTTCAAGCGGTGGAACCGCTCGTGTAATCGCTGCATCGCCCGAAGAAGAAGAAGAAGAAGAAGAAGAGGAAGATGACGAAAAAAAGATTATCAATGTTGCATCTTTATACGAACATAACTACGTTCGAACGAGAAACATGACATTAGTAGGTCTTATTCAAGGACCTTTTCATCATTGTTTCTATGGTCTACTTGAAAAAATAGCACCTGGCAAAAAAGCCAGTTCTATTATAAAAAAGACCTTTTTAGATCAACTAATCGCTAGTCCTACGTGTTTAATTATATTTTTCGGTGGTCTTGGTCTAATGGAACGAGACAAAGTCGAAGAAGCTTATAGGGAAATTAAAGTGAAGTTGATCGAAGCTTGGAAAGTATGTCCTGCTAACAAAAAAAAAAAGTTTATACGTAAATTATTTATTTAAAAAAAAAAAGAAAAAAAAAAGGTCAAGTAATCTATAATCTAAACTTTTCACATTAGGTCGACTGTTGTTTTTGGCCTCCAGTTCAATGTGTAAACTTCTTATTCGTTCCTTTACAATATCGAGTACTCTATATAAATGTTATGACTATGGTGTACGATGTTTTTCTATCGCACATTAAATACGTAAGTATATTTGTGACAAACATTTCAACGTTCATTTTTCCATATTATTTTCCAATGTTATTCTTTTTCAGGATGCTCACTATGATTGACAAGAAACAATTTATTAGTTAAGAAACAAATTGTACTAGATCATAAACTACTGCTAAGCGTATATTATTATATTATATTATATTATATTATGTTATATTATATTATATTCAATTTATAAAATAAGTTCCTTTCTTTATTTCTTTTTTTTTTTTCTCTTTTTGATAAAGTAAAATAAATGAATTTTTTCTTTAATGTTTTCGTTTTTGGATTTTTCATTTCTCTCTCTCTCTCTCTTTTTCTTTCTTTCTTTCTCATCTTTTGTGGATTTCTCCCGACTCCATCGACTATAATAAAATAAATATTAATGGATGATTATAATTATCTGAAATATTTTTCGACATAACGATTACTATTATACTTTCATTGATAAGGGATCAAAATAATCCTTATAAAATAGTATAGAATGAATGAAAAATATTTGAAAATTTCGAAAAACGATGAAAGGTATTAGTTATCAGTAATCAGACGATAATGTGTGGACGTGTGGATAAGTACGTGTACCGCGCATTTCTAAAAGGGTATTAACAAATTTCTTATCAAAGGTAGATCACTCGGTGATCATTCATTAAGAGTAGGGATGTTATTTATGTCGTTAGCATCTTTGTTTGGCATTTGGCGACAGGAGGATTATAGAATTCCGTAAGCCGCCAGTCGCCATCTAGCAAATATGATTATTGACAATGTACACATAAACACAAATAATAAATTCAACGTTGCGCAACATGTGCCGTAGTATCAAGATTATACAAAGCGCCTGCAAAATGCACTTCAAACGTAAACCGTAAAATATAACGTGTATTATTAATAAAAATATTAATAAGTATCATAGTACAAACTCAAAAAGATACGTTTATATATATATACATATATATATATATATATATATACGTGTTTGGAACTTTACCGTCGTATACACAGATCGATTTTTATTTTCTATAGAAAATGATAAAAAGGACATTTAAATGTGAAATAATATAAAGAAAAATGGCGGAAAAATGTTTCGATCGAGTAATCGAATAGGTTGAATTCGATTAATATAACAAGCTCGAAATTCAAAATGTTTGACGAGAGAAATGAAACAGGAATCGTAGTACAAATCCCGTTTTCCTTGCGTTCCCTAAATTTGAAATCTAAGGAACACGGAGCGCGCCCTCGGCGATTTACAATCATAAACCGTGGTTTGCTTTGTACTTATCGTTCGAGCATGGTTTTATTATGATTTTTGAGCGCCAGGTGGCCGCGTTTTTGTTGGCCATTCGTATAGCGGTGCAATTTACTGAGCGCCATTGCATCGATAAATGTCACGAGGGTAGGTCCGCGTTTTCGACAATCGTTTTTCGCGCGATAATAAAGTCACGTTGTTTCGAAGATTGGTGTTGTGTAGTGCGATATGTCTAAGCGGAAAAATACAACGGTTAAGAAAGGTCGCGCGAAATCGAGGAAGGTCGAATACGATGAGGAGGATATTTCGAGCGAACACGAGTCCGATGTAGAGGACGCCGAGAGTGGCACTAATGTCGACGGTGAGGACGCTGCCGAAGACGATCTTACCGATGTCTCCAATATACCTGAGCTGCCGTCGCCAGAGGTGACTGTTATTTACTTTTTCTCATTTCAATATTTATCTCAGGTTAACACAAATATTGATGCTAAAATGGTGATACCCGAAGAAGAATCTCAAGTCATACCGATGTTAATGAGCCTGGCGATCAGTACGTAACGACATTTCTACGATCATGAATATGAATAACGGCTTGGTGGAAGATCCTGGCGGCATCGAATACGCATGTAATATTTCAGATCCGTGTCATGCAAGTTTCATGTAAACTGTATACTACATAATTGCATTTGGATCTTGAAAAGGATTTGGTGGATAATAACAATTTAATAGCTGATGATATGCTCCTATTGATTGTGTTACAGGGAGGTTGGGGTAAGCCTGGCACATTACTTATGTGTGGTCTGACAAATTGGGAAATGGCAGGGCGTAAAGCACCACCAAAATCACTCAAGACAAATGTAGGACGTAGTTTGTGGACTCCTCATACTTTTAAGAATTTAAATGGAGCACGTGTAAGATTGATTGCCTCCGGACCTGCTGCCTCTCATAATATTATTGTTACGGAGGATAATAGATGCTTAACTTTTGGTAAAAATGATAAAGGTAAATTGATCATAATATCCTTAATATGAGATCGTATGAAATCTTTCATTATTTTACCTGCATATATCCGCAGAGAGTTTTCTATAGTGCTGGATTAGCAGGAAATTATTATAACATATATGAACATTATTTCAGAAGTTTGGGTATATGTTAGGGATCGCTCTAAATATTATATTCATACTTATGGTCTATTGTTTAGAATTCTCCAGAAAAAAAAAAAAAACAATTTTAAAATTCTGTCAAAAATACTTTTGAATAATTTGATATTGTCAATCGATTGTAGGTCAGTTGGGTGTTGGTGATACTAAACGTCGGGATGAACCAACCGAAGTAGAAGCATTAAAGGGACACACTATTATAGCAGCATCTTGCGGTCGAAATCATACGCTTTTCTTAACCAGTCGTGGTTTAGTATTTGCCGCTGGGGACAATAAGTTAGGACAATGTGGGGTAGGAAAATCTGATCCTTGTATAATAAAAGCTACAAAAGTTAAATATTCTGGACCTCCCATAGTAAAAGTAGGGTGTGGGGCAGAATTTTCTATGATCTTAGATATTAAAGGTGGCCTACATTCATTTGGATGTCCAGAATATGGTGTATTAGGTCATAATACAGATGGGAAATATTTTATAACAAATACGAAGATGGCGTTTCACTTCGAGAAAGTGCCTAAACGAATCGTTTTATATGTAGAGAGAGGTAAAGACGGTCATGTCACGCCATTAGATCGTGTTGAAATTACTGATTTCAGTTGTGGTCATTATCACACGGTTGCTATTGATAGTAAAAATCGTGCATTTTCATGGGGATTTGGAGGAATCGGTCGATTAGGCCATAACGAACAAAGAGATGAATTAGTGCCACGTTTAATTAAATTTCTTGAACCACCGAATCGAGGTGTTAGATCTGTCGCCTGTGGTAGTACTTATAGTATTGCAATTAATGTTCATGGTTCAGCACTTATGTTTGGACAAACTAAACGTACAGGAGAAGCTAATATGTATCCAAAACCTATTCAGGATTTATCAGGTTGGGAAATCAGATGTATTGGATGTTCACAAAGTAGTATAGTAGTTGCCGCAGATGATTCTGTTATTGCCTGGGGTGGTAGTCCGACCTTTGGAGAATTGGTAAGTAATATTTTATAAGCGATAATAGTTTATCTATTTTTATGATAAGAGAAAAAGAAAATATTATAAAATACTTACAGGGTTTTGGTGAAATGCGTAAATCATCAACTACTCCTATGGAAGTAAAAGCTTTAGAAGGTTTATACATTACAGCGGTTACTTGTGGCGTTTCTCATACATTAATGATCTGTCGAGATGATACAGAAGAGGAGAAAGCTAAAATTAATAAACTTCCAGTATATTCTGTTTAATTATTAGACAATTCCTTGGATTGATAAATACATGGGATACGATGATTACCACATCTTTATAGAAAAGAAAAGAAAAGAGAAAAAAAAAAGAAAAAAAAATGAAAGAAAAAAAAATCGGAAAGAATGTTTTAATTCTATATACAAGTGTAATCATATCCCAACAAACAACATCAGCCTAACATCAGGGATGCATTGTAAAAAGATTTAAGCTATCTTTGCTTGGGTCCAGAAACAGTTGCAGCATAGAAATGCTCATTTCCTTGAAAAAAAAGTCTTAGCAGACTGCAAAATACGTCCATATAAAACATAGACTTAGCTATTACTCTACTTTGTACTTCCAATTTTTACTTAATCTGTAAATGACAGTTCATCTATAATAGTAATCCCTTTCTGTTAGTAGCTCAGGATATAGACCAAACATATAGATGCAAAAATATATTTTGATACGTTGCTATTTTATTGGAGTTCGCTGTAACTTTTAACCACAGTGAAAGTGATTATTTGTATGAGAAAAAGTGCTGGGAACTGGAAATTGTTAAGAAAGTTTTATTTCTATCATTCATTGTAGTGAATTTATAATCTTGTAATCTATACCATTGATTCATTACGGTAGTACCTGAATCATTGCACCCATAGAAATTTTTATATTATATAAGTACAATATAATACATGACATATATAGATACATAAAAATAATTCACATGTCCAATGATTTATAAACAATGTTTTATTGACTTAATATTTATGGAGTATGACCAATAATTTTATTTGATTTTAGCGTGTAAGAAATGATTACTTCCTTGAAACCAGCATTATTTGTCATACTTTTTTTGTATGAAAATTAATTTTTTATTGTACACATGCAGGAAGTGAAGTTTCAGTGAACATTATATATTGTTGGCTATTGTATTATTATGCAAGGCATTCCAAGATTTAAACTATCACAATTCACAAGTATCTGGAATCCCTTGTATCTCATCTTTACACAACTATTTAAGATTATCCATCATATTATTATTATTATTATTATTATTATTATTATTATTATTATTATTATTATTATTATTATTATTATTATTATTATTATTTTAAGAATTTGAAAATGAAATAGAGTATTGATTTTACTACATTCATTTTGTTTATTGTATATACAAAATGAATATAAACCTATACAACTTACTTTACATTTTATAAGACAAATTGTAAAGAACACTGCCAAAATGTGTTAAAACATTTCATTTTTGTATTGTGACACGTCCGGTATTTAATCATTCCATTTCGTTCTATGTAATACTCTTATGCAGATTTTGCACTAAAACAAACTTGTTCTAATAAATTTGTAACGAATGTACAAGTATAATTGTCAAATAAATGAAATTTTTAAGAAAAATCAATTTTTATTATTATGATTGCGAATTCATATAATCTACAACATCTTTTATATATTTTTTTGGAACATTATTATATCTCCAATGTAATAGTTGATACGATATATAATATATTGGATCTACTGGACGGTACTTTAAAACACTGGTTAGTGCCCAAATGAGTGCTAATACTTTATTGCACCTATATGTATATATATACATATGTATATAAATATATATATATATTACACATTTAAATAAGAAAAAATGCGCTGTTATAAAACAATAGACACAATATATGTAATCGTAACGAAAATCTTTTATATATTATGAATTTTACTTACGTGAGTTTTCTTGATTGCAGATGTTCATAACAGGAACATTTAAATGGTTTAAAAATGCAAGATTCTCTTGTTATCGTTGAGTCACTAGAAGAGAAATATTTTTCATTTGAAGTATAAGAATAGTCCTGTTCAAATTCTGTTTCACTGGACATAACTTCATTTTCTGTTTTATCTTCCAATATTAAAGACATTTTATATTGATATAATATATTAATAATTTTGCAATATTTACAGCTTTTTTTTTTCTTTTTATATGTACTTCAAAATAAATTTGTAGATATAGCAAATTATATAAAATTTTATAAGAGGACTTAAAAATAATTGAGCATCAGTTTACATTGTTTAAAAAAATTGTTTATGGACTTGTTATAAAAATATTTAAAATGTATGAATTCAGTAGTCTGAACATATGTATTAATATAATATGATAGTAGCATATAATATATATTGAAAATGCTTTATTTACAAATAAGTTACAATAGATTTGTGTATAAGACAATTACCATATATTTATTTTGAAGATTCTATTTGTATATTTCCACTTATTCTTAATTTTTGGATCAGTATAACTTTTATGAATTATGTGCATTATATGTAATAGAATATAAGCAAGTAAAAGACAAATCACTAAAAAAAAAAATTGTACTAATGCATAAATTTATGTTTATATATACATATACATATACATATACATATATATATATATATATATATATATATATATATATATATATATATTAGGGTGATCGTTGTTTGACCTTTGGAGGAATTTTTATGAGTCCACCTCCCCCTGATTCAGCTTAAAATAAATATAAAAAAGATCATTTTCAAATCTCAGCATTTTATCTTAATATTAAAGCACATTGAAGATCATATACCTTTGTATATTTAAATAACACAGAGATTTTACATACTTTTAGATATCATTTTTTATAACAAGCAACGAAAACTGAATAAATTTGACTATTGTACAAAAATTACGCATATATGCATATATATATATATATATATATGTATGTATATATGTATGTATGTATGTATATATATATGTATATGTATATTATATATATAACAAATCTTATATAAGTGTATAAATGTAACAAAGCAAAAGACTATAAAAAGTGAACAAGTGTCTGTGATAAAAACTTTATCAGTATTATAATAAAAATGATTTATTTTTGAATATTTAGAAATAAATTGAATAAAAGAAAATAGAATTAACGGTTGCTTAGCTTATTATTAATGGTTCAAAGCGCCAGCTTTTCATTCTTGGCTTAGCTTAAGTCCAATTTTTTGTACACCTGCAATATATAACTATAAATTGATGATATTTTTAAAATTCGTATTTAATTAAATTATTAATTAATGTAGATCTATAAATCATTAGCACATTTTTGTATAGTTCACAGATTGTGTAATGTTTGTTTCTTTATCTAATGTAATATAATTCTAACAATGATTCACAATATTATGTATTCATTGTAACTTGTTTTAGTTGTTTAATAAACAACATATCATACAATAGGCGCCATGCTTATAACCCATTACCAAAAAAATTTCTTTATCACAGCCACTTAAATCATACTGCAATAACAACGCGAATATGCATTCTGTGGTTCATAATCATCCGTCAATTGTATTCCTCTTTTTCCCATTCTATACCTAGCACCGGTCATATTGCCATTGTCAATATATTTTGGAGAGTGAGTATCCCATAAACCAGGAGTTTGTAATATCTATTTATATATAATATTTAATTTTAATAATTAAATTGTCAATAATATATAATAAATCATTGTATATTACCTTTTGAACGAGTTCCTCGAAGCAACACTTTACTCCATCCGCCGTTTTAGCACTACTTTCAATATATAGGGACTGATGTCTCCTAGCAAATTGTAAGCCTTCTTCATTGCTAACTTCCCTATTTGGTAAATCTATTTTATTACCTACTATCATTTTAACAATATCCGTTTTATTACAATACGTGTTTAATTCATTAAGCCATGTATCCAGTTTTAAAAATGTATTTCTATCGGTAACATCATATACTAAAATAGCTCCTTGTCCATCTCTATAATAACTTGGTGTTAAAGTACGAAATCGTTCTTGTCCAGCAGTATCCTATACAATGACAGATATTTAATTAAAACAATTAAAACTTTATATAACATATATATATATACATATAATTATAGTTTCAGTACGGTATTGTAATTATAACAAACCACCAATATGAAATTGTGTAACTAACCCAAATAGCAAGTTTCACTATACTATCATCTATTGTGATATATTTTGTTTTATAGTCCATCCCGACTGTATTTCGCATATTTTCCGAAAATTCATCTTCTGTGAACCTTAAAAGTATACTAAACAAACAAAAAAAGAAAAATAAATAAATAAATAAATAAATAAAAAAAAAAAAAAGAAAAATGAAAAAAAAAAGAAAACATAAAAGAAGAGAAAAGAAAAGAAAAAAGAAGAAGAAGAAGAAGAAAATGGAAGAAAGAATGTTATATTATTAATAATCAACTTTATACACTTTGAATTAATCACATTAAGAAAAATTAAATATGTGTATATATATATATATATATACATACGTGTGTAATTATAATATATCTACCTTGATTTACCCACGTTAGATTCTCCTATCATAAGAAGTTTCAGCACTGTTAAAATATTTTGATCCATGTTATGATCATCCATAATATAATATCGAATTAAATAGAATTTTTTTTTCTTGTTTTTTTTTTTTTTTGTTAAAGAAATAATACGCGTCTTATTATTTCTTTACGATACCACTAAACGCGACTGACTTTTGATAATGCAACAATATATGTATCTGCACCTCATAAGTATTAATTATCAACAACATAAACGCATCACAAATTAATACGATGACACAAAAGATAGTAACTGTAAAAGACACTTAGATAGACTAATAACTCATCTATGGTAAAGATTGCTATGATTTTTCAATTCTCCTTTAGATGGCGCAACAATCACCAACTGTATAACCTAAAGCTTTTTCTTTCTGATTGTGCACGACTTCTTTGTAATCTTCGTTCTAGTTAATGCAATATACATATATATATATATATATTTTTCATATCACATGCACACCACACACACACACGCGCGCGCACACGCACAACACGTACATTATTTATTGATTATCATTTCTATTTAAATCTACTCGTGAACGAAATCACTTTTATCAAACTCATTAATAATCTTATTGTACTTCGTTAACTAGATTTATTGACAATAATAATTTTTCGAAAAGATTGTTTTTCGTATATTTATATTTTTATTTATTTATTTTATTTCTTTTTATTGATTACAAATGTAATATTAAATTATTTGTTCTAAGAGTTAATACAAGTGTGATCGTTATTTTATTTTATTTTTTCTTTTTTATTGCGTGTATCACAGTGAACATATATAAATTCATATTATTTACTTGTGTATCGTTTGTTTAAAGAAAGAGTGTGCTTTAAATATAGATCGATCGATCAATATTATACGAAATAAATAAATGAAAAAGGAGAAAAGAAAGGAAAAAAACGTAAAAGAAAAAGAAACGAAACAATGGTGGAATTAATTCGAAGAGTGATATATCATTTTCATTTTTATTAGTGTGGTATCTCTATCTGAGAAAATATGGTGTCAGTCTTTCTAACCTATACCAAATTCGGTATTCGTATAATAGCACGTCCGAAGATGACGTTTGTAATAAATTATTACAGACAATACGATGTTAATTATTAAATATTATTCTCACGGAATATAATACACAATGAATAATAGTAAACTTTATAAATAAGTTTTGAAAAAAATCTAATATATATATATATGTCTATCTATCTATATATATATGTACATATATATATATATATATATATATATATATATATATATAAAAGTGAAAAGTTATTTACATTGTTATTTGAAAAATAACGATATGTAATCTATTCTGAACGATAAGTTTGTATACTTAGGTTAATAGTAATTTTTGATTTGAGTCAATAGAGAAAAAACTTAATAAAATATATATATATACATATATGTATATATACATATATATATGTGCATATATATATATATATATATATGTATATAATTATTCTAAAGGTGTACGTTAAGTAATATCGAAATAAAAATGTATGTAAGAGTACACGCCTTATCTAAAATAAGGTAAGAGAGAAGTTTGGCTTGATTGCAAAGGATAAAGATGGCCGCGGTAGGCTGCCATGAAGGGAGTGCGTCGCTCGTGCTCGTGGAAATGGGACGTTGCAACATCGAAGTGTCATTGTTGTTCTTATGAAGTGTCAGTTAGTGACGTTAAGTTATACTGTTCGGTGAAAGAATTTAAGAAGAATAATTTGAAATGGCATCCGACGGGTAAAATAAATCAATTTTCTTTATGATTAAACTCGCATAACGCGATAGTCGTCGCATAACGATTTAATGTATGTATGCTTTTGCCCCGAATGGTTTGCAGATCGATAGTGAATTTTTACCACTGACCCGTCCCAGTTTTCACTCTAGACAGGTTTTTCGTGTTCTTAGATGGGACATAGTTATTACGTTTCTCACGATTACTAGAAGATATTTGGGCGGGTCCCTTGCAATTTCCTTATTGTATTTTACATTGTCATTTTTATGCCTTTGCTCTCGTTCCCTTTCTGTGCGTACTGCGTTATCTTTTCCTTTTCTCTTTCTCTCTCTATCTCTCTCTTTCTCTTTCTCTCTTTCTCTCTCTCTCTCTTTCTCTGTCTCTCTTTCTTTTTTCTTTTTTCCTTCCTTCACGATTTCGCGCTTTCATTTTTCTTTTTTCACGACTATACGCACACGATCTACGCGCGAATGACTCTCCGCGGCCTATTTTAACCAATTAAACGGATAACATGACATCAGGCAGTTGCTTGTAATGCCACCAGCATTCCCATCAATTTATGATTTTAACAATAGAGGTCGAATGTTCTTTTCTTGTGTTTCTTTTTCTTTCTTTCTTTCCTTTTTTTCTGTTTTTTTTTTGTGTGGATTATTATTTTTGTATTTTTATCTTATACCTTTTATTCCCGGGTCAGGGGAGGGAGGAGGGAAAATTGATTAATGTATTACGCCTATGTATTTCTGACAATTAGTTATTGGGTTATTAATATTTTCCTGTAAAAGTATTTCCTTTTTAACTTACTTTAATTTGATTTATCCTGATCATTTGATTATATTTATAATTGATTTATATTCCTTTTGTATAGAATATAAATATAGCATGCAAAAAATTTGTACCATATACGTGTCTCATATTGTGATATCATAATTAAAAACAATTGCAGTAGGATGGAATGGGTTGAAATCATAGAACCACGTACAAAGGAGCATATGTATGCTAATCTTACTACTGGAGAATGTGTATGGGATCCACCACCTGGCGTACCTGTGTAAGAGATTATTAGTTTTTATATCATTGAAATAATATATATATATATATATATTGTTATCATTCAAATGTTATGGATCATTTAAAACTTCTGAATAATTTATAGGAAGAAGACGGATAATAATCAATGGTGGGAATTATTTGATCAGAATACTTCAAGATTTTATTATTATAATGCCACATCTCAGAAAACTGTTTGGCATCGTCCAACTGATTGCGACATTATCCCATTAGCAAAGCTTCAGGTAAATAATTTTATTCATTAATTTTATCCACTTTTTTTTCACAGTTTTTAATCTATAAAAATTGATATATATATATATAAATATTATTGTAGACATTAAAACAGAACACAGAGCCGGCTGGTAGTAGTGGAGGTGATGTCCAAAAAAATGCAGAATCAAGAAAGAAAGAATCTGTGTCTACACAAACTCAGACACCTGTTAGTCGTTCGATGCGTTTCAATCATCAAGACAATCCTAATTTATCTGTTACACTGGTAAGATTATTATTTGTAGAAAGATATCTGTATATCAATTTTATGTATTTTTTTTTTCTTTTTTGTTTAATAGCAAGTGGGTAATGCTAGTAAATCTCGAACATCTGGTATTGGTGTGGATATGCAGACATCTCCACCATCTCCGTCTCCTTCTTCGAGACGACATCATCATCATCACCATCATCATCACAATAATCGACATCATAGACATCACGAAGTACCGGCGACTAGACGACAACATAATCATTCGCAAGATTCTGGTCGATCCAGTGATAGTTCTGTCTCCCATAGTCGTACGTCTTTAGAATCAACAGGATATCGATTGTTAGACTCACCACATCGTCATCATCATCGTTCTACGGTTCAACCTCCACCAGCACACGCCCAGTCTTCACCTAGACAGCATAGCGGCACATTAGAAGGTAGATGTCACAAAAGTGGAACTCTAGAAAGCGTTAAAAATCAGAAATCTATACCATTGGGTGAACCACCACCACTGGGATTGTCTCTCTCGACTAGTACACCTCTTTTCAAGAAAAAGACTTTCCCAGATACACAGCGCGAGGGTAGAATAGGAAATTTGGATCTTGAAAAGAACAAAAATGGTAAGATTTCTGAGGATCCTTTTATCGAAGCAAATCTAAAAAAAAAAAGAAAAAAAAAAAAAGAAAAAAATCAATTATATAAATATATTTAAAAATTTAGGTAAAGAAAGTAGTAGGGGTTCCTACGGTCCTGAACCAAGTACATCTCCATATAGAGATTCTTTAATGGAATCAAGAGTATTTAGGCAAGAAATGCCACCTTATCGTCCGCCAGAAGTTCAAATAAGTCATAGTTATAAATCGCAAGGTGAAAAGTATGGTTCGTTGGTAGAAAGTGGTAATCGTTTCCTTAGGGAAAGAGATTGGGAAATGCATCAAAGAGAAAGAGTTAATAGTTTGGACAAATCCAATACTTCTGCCTTTTATCCAAGTTCCATGCATCCACGGAATATGAATAAGCAAGATACTACAGGTAGTATAGGTAAAAGACATTATGGATGTTCCGCGTCATTGTCAGAAGCAAATGTTCGTGATATGTATGGGGCAATGTTAGCAGAGAGAAACGATCCATCCAAGAGTCTAGTGCGAGGTACAGGAATAATTGGTAACGTAGCCAAGCAAAGAAGTATGGAAGTATCCGAGAGAGAAAGAGAACGGGATCGTGACAGAGAGAAGGAATATAGAAGGAATACAGCGTGCAATAATTCGCTCGACTGTAAGTACATAATTGTACGATATTGCTTTTAAAATTATACATTATCAAAATACTGAACATCATTTGTGATTGATTTATAGGCACGTCGCAGCCTCTGGCTCGTAGTTATAGTTTCGTGCAACAGCAAAAGTTGCAACAATTACATCAGCAACAACAACAGCAACAACAACAACAGCAGCAACAGCAACAGCAACAACAGCAACAGCAAAGTAGAAGAAGAGATAGAGATGAGGATGCGATGCATGAGCGTTATTTGATAAGTCAAAGTCACGAACAAACTAGGCAGCGACTTAGTAGTAACACAAGTAGTAGCAACAGTAGCAACAGCAGTAGTAATAGTGCCGTAGGAGAAGATATAGAAGGTCATTTGGATACGGAAGATAGTAAGAAAAAAAGAAGTAATGGTAATCCAAGTCCACCGTTGTCTCCTTTCTATGGAAATCTTTTATCGGATGCCGATCATTTGTTACCACTTCAACATTATATTCTTCAGCAAGCTAAGCTATCAGGTATTTAAATTATTCATCCTATGTTGATATATCATATGTTATACATATTATGTATTTGTTTTTAAAGGTTGTTACAAGTTTGGTGATCCATTGTTAGTAGAAGAGGGTGATGATTCTTTAGACGAAGAAGGTGGTCGAAGCGGAGGTAT